CCGTCAGTGTTAGTTGATATCCAGTCAGAGATGTTGATAAAATAAAATTGCCATTTCCACCACTGTCAAATAGAGAATAATGACTGTATTAATTATACTATAACATAATTAGTGATTGATGCCCTAGTATGATATGCCTGAAGTATACCAAAAGCCCTAACTCGCGCTCTTAAATACTAGATGGTGTCTGTGTGGTGTACACAACTGCCCACGAGAACAACTGGTTATGTCGTTATGACCTTAACAATACCAGGCTTTGTGAGCAGAAATTTTCTAAAAGTTTGTGAAGTCAGAGCTTTGAATGTCCATTTATTTAGTATTTAAAGCTGCTTTTTTAGAACGGCGCATTGTAGCTTTTATGTTTATATGCCAATGTATGTAAATTATCAAACCTGAGAACAGTTTTATCTGAACTGAATTGCAGATGCGTAATTTAGTCACAACCCCACTAAATAACGTATTAAAATATAGTTAAGTCTATATGCACCTTTTAATATAGGAAGGGTCCTTATATAATTCTGGAATCGGGATTCTATTCTCTGATGCAATTAATTGTAATCCTAATAAATGTCGATCACACCCCTCGTTGTTTACACATTCATTCATCAGCTGAATTTGCTTATCGATCGCCTTCTTGAACAATTGTAACCTATCCGACGGCTGAAAAATATGTACATATATGGTTAGCTCTAATTATATAATTGGATAATACTTAATACTGATTCAACTGCATAAACTGTCCAATAAATACAGATATACTAACTTTAATATTGTCATCCAGCATAGCCTTGTACCACTGAATTGCTTCCATAGTGCATGTTCTCACTGTTTCTGTTCTACCGTGATAGAATTTACGAGTTGTTGCCGTCTCATATGTAGGAGCAGGTCTGTTACATTTACAATAAAAGTTACACATGATTAGGTTTGCTTGTAAAACTACTGACACTAACTGCTTAAATTAACTGGCAGGTAATATAAGACATTGAACACGAGTCCCGCTATTTTATTTTATCATTTAATTTCAGGTGTCCTACTTTGGAGCATTTTTTATTTTGAGCAAAGTAGTAAATTGACGGTTCGTATATGTTTTGCAGAACTACTAAAACAATACGATGAACTATATTTATACATAATACAATACATTGTTGAGACAAGTCAGTGAGTTTATATGTTTGATTCATATATAATGTACTTCATACGACTTCATACGACATTTATTTCCAGCTGAAATGCCGACGCTTTTCAAACTCGGACATATTATCACTCGACAATTCCGGCATACTGATAATGTCTTCTTGAAAGAGTCGCAAGAGTTTTTGTTAGTTGCAGTATTTCTGTTCAATTATCTACGTTTTATTGTCTCACAGTATCATTTGAGCAATGTACAACTTTTATGTAAAATGAACTTTTAAGTAATATACATTTACATCTCACTGAAAGCTTGAACGCTATCATCTGTCAAGTCTGGTAGTATGTATTAAACTTTAAAGTTATGTGCTAGTTTGTCAATCGTACGCCCATTACAGTATATATAAAATAGGGCATAGTAGGGCGTTTTCTACATGCAAACATTTACATTAGGTATTTGTGTTCAGTGTCTAATGGCTGCGTATTATCATACCTGTTGTACATCTTATAATAAGTATAATGCAATGCCAATTGCATGAATGCATCTGGATGGATCTGCTTTGATTTCAACACACCCCGATCAAAAGGTGTTACTTTGACGGTGAGTTCAACATTATCTGCCTTAAAAATAAAAATAGCATCAATGTTACTAAACATTCGACGTGTCATTGTTGCATTGATTGGCCAACCTAAATAAATTAATTTGCAGGACAAATATTTTGACCAACTGTACGAAATAATGGAAAGAAAGCATATGTGCTCTTCATAAGACCAAACGAGCTACTAATCAAAATGCAGATTTTTTGAAATATTTGTTATGCTTGAGCTCTTAGAGGCTTGACGATAATGTATGGCTGAGCTTCGCACACCGCATATATTATTGTTTTAATCAATTGCTGTTATGTTGTGTAATATTTACAAAATACTACACTCACCTCATTCCTATACTGTTCATCTGCTTTAGAGATTGTCTTAGTTATGTAATCATCCATAGTAAACTTTAACTCCTGTGGATCTGGCAATTCTCGCACATTTGTTGAACCCTATTCACAAACAACATTGAATTAGTATATAATATCAATTGAATATACATGTATAACTATCAAAATACCATCTCCACATGGACACCATGAACATAAAAGCATGAACTACGAACACATGTTAACATTAAAGATCAATACTGTAACATAAAATATTTCCCTGCCAGAAATACAATTGTTTCGAAACAGAATAATATTCTGTTTCTTTTTTTAGTCTTACTGTGTTATTCAATGCACCACGCAATAATCCTCAACAGGACAATGTCCCGAAAAAATCAGATACCTCACATGCCATACCTCAATGTGAAATGTTGCATGATCAAATTGTGCATAAGACAAAAATGGAATTCGTCCAGTCTTTTTTGCGCCCATAAGACCTTTGAGAATAATCATGTGCTAACATCATAATTTGCTTACAAAATTAGGTTTGTATGATTACTGGTCTCTATCCATGTAACTAACCATGGTCACGTATACTTGTATAATAATTATATACCTTAATATACAATATTTAAAGTTCCTTTTTGATGCAACAATTTGCTTCTCACTAACTACTTTTCATAAGTTCTCTAAAGACATATCTTGCTTTTGACCTTTTATGAGTTGCTCAGTATTGTCTGACTATACCAGAAGTAGTGACTACCTTATGTAGTTACTACTGCACCAGTGTCGCATTCCGTCTATGGGCATTTTCTAGATTTACATTGGATACATACATTGCTGATAATCAAATTATGGCAAATAGAACATTACAACTTGTAAAACATGTAAAATCTATGATTAAAATGAAGAAAAAGAGATAAAATTATGTTCTGACAATCACAAACATATTTCAACGGACTTTGAAAAATGGAATGGCAAATTGCTGTATGTCAAACTAATGCTGTCACAAATATAACCAGATTTTGGGGTGACAAATAACATGAACTAGACACTTTGTATCATAGCGATGGACATGGGTACGAGGCAAGTTCAGGGTTGTTTACTAAAATGGGTAAATATATAATAAAATACTGTACATTGGTTCTATACTTGTCTCGTACAGAAACTTTTGCTCCTGTGTTCGTGTGACATATTTAAAGATTTCATGCAGATAAAAGAAAAACAATAATACATTTGCTGCGATTATGCAGTTTTGCTGTAACTATGAAAACAATATTTAAGTTATGTACCTTCCAGATGCCATCTTGTGAGATAATTTGCTCAGTTGTATGGGATACATGATTGACCACACAAATTCCATCCATCACGGAGTGCTGAAATAGAAATGGTGATAAAAATGTAATGCTCACCAATAAATAAATTCACACAGGAAAACAAAAATTGCGATTAGATAAACAATTAAATGTACATCTTCTTTGAGAAACGTGATATAATGCGAGAAATAGATACTCAAGCACATGGCGTACAGCTGGCCGATCATCAGAACCTTTATGTTGATAGTTGCTGTCGTTCGTAATACACAATAATATCATAAGTGTATTCGTGCATTATACAACATATAAAAATGAGTTCGTCAATAAATATTCATTTTCAATGTCAGATGTGAATGCGTAAACTTATACCTACGTCAAAGTTAGCACCAAAGCTTCCATTTTCAAAACTGATAAGTGTATAGCATTTATCAAACCATCGACCATGGCCATTACCAAATAAAGATTGCTCACAAACCTAATCAACAATTTATAATAACATATCATTTACAGATTCCCTTAATCTTGCATCTGCTGGATTACACTATAGACACATAAGTATATTCGCTGCACCCAAATAACCATGTAATAGGTAACGCACGTAAAACAAACTGACTAAAGCAAGTTATTTTGAAGCGTCAACATTACGCTGTGAATAATTTATCTTACCGCCTGTCGTGTATCTGCTGAAATTTCTTCAAGGCTTATGATTAGTAAACTGGACTCGATATCATTAAGGATAGATATATTATGTGGGTTAAGCTTACACAAATGTGTTCTTGCCTTCAGAAAAGATCAAAAACATTAAAATTATAACTTATGTGCGCTCATCTTTATCTCACACATTGCGATATATTCACGGAAACATGCATTACGATATTCGAATTTCTTATAATAGATATATGATAAAATTTCATCTGTGAAAAAGTAATATTACCTGTGCCCATAGTGTCCTGTCCAATGCTGTCAAAATTCCCACACTTGGTATAGTAGGTGTATTTTCACATGTATTCTTTATATATTGTAATTGTCTAAATGAAGAAATGTAATCAATCTTTGTTTTAACACTGTTGTGTGTTTCCTGTCCCTAATATGTCGAGTCTATGATTAAAGCTACTACCTTTGTAATTCTGGAGCAGAAAGTATATTCCCGTCATCGTCGGTGGCCGTGAATCTATAAAAGTGACCTTTACGCAAAACAATAATATGGTCTGGACAGTTTCCTTCTTTCTCTGAAGTACAAAATTGTGAGTATTGATCTATTGTTTTAAATATATTACATCACAGTATTGTGTTTATTTTGGTGCCATCTATTACGAAACCGAATTCTATATGTTTACATGAAGCTTTAATTGCGGTTACTGTTTGAGAACATTGCATGAATAGTATGTTTTGTACATTTATTCTTAAATTCCAGGAAATAACTTCATTAAATACTGCATTAAAGTAATGTATTTATTTATATATCTTAAATAATGTTTTCTTCTTTCATTCACACTTAGTGGGCACACCCCTTGCATGTACAAAATAGGTGGTTATTATATAAATAAAACAAAGTATTCACGAAAACAGTACAGCGAGATTATGATTATGATGCATAGGTCTGTGACCATGTACTGCTCGAAAACATACATTGTGACATCATCGTAATAAACTCATAATTGGTATAATTTAAATACACTGAACATTATATCTTCCTACCAGTTTTTAAATGTCTCGTGATGGTATCCTTCTCAATGCCGGGAACTACGCTGGAACTGAATATACTTCGGTATTGATGCATGGAAATATTAGATTTATCCCGACTAGATTCCACTGGAAGCGTCTCCCTAATATGTGAAAGGAATTCAGCAAATTAAAAAAAACAAAAAAAATGATTGGAAAATTTACATGCGACGGATGAATTATATTAGCAGTTTGTTTTCTTTGAAATTTAAAAAAAATCCTTCAACGGACTGTTAAGACTATGCATAACTTATACATATCGCCCCAACATTAACAAAAAAAATAACAAATACATATTTGAGTATTGTTATACTTACTCGTGGATGGATTGCCAGTATTTCAACACATTCCACAATATCAGCGCACATCTTTCCACTTGTGTACCTTTCTTAGGTGGCCAAACGTTCATATCTAGAATCGCATATGCAACATTTGCGCCACCAAAAGGTTTCGAACCTCTCGCTGACAAATAAGCAGTATTCTCCCACCAGTTTTCAAGCTATGAAAAAGTGCATAGATTAACGTTTACTTACAATATAAGATACGGTAGTTAGACAGAATCGGTTGTGGTATCACGAGTATTATTGCTGTTCTGTTTGATGATACAGTGAAATCATTTTCACTATGTCCGCAATATATAAAAAAGATCGAGTTTTGTGATTGATCTATTAAACTTAATTGAATGTTGACAACATGACCAATCAGCGGCGGTTTTACTGGTTGTCGGTTGGTTAAGGCAACGATCGATTAGCTGTGAATTGATTTTCAGCAAACTGACAAAACAAATGTTCTCAGCTTGACATTACATGTCAATTTAGTTTAAATCCGTATTCACAATGACTGCCCCATATAGTAAATGTCAATAGATTAATCGCATTTATTTCATTCTCACTTTTACACCAACTGACTCTGTCTAACACCATTGTACTCCCATGTGAACGAGTTCCATAAATGCTAGCAATGCAATTTACAGCGTTTCATTTTATACAAACGTCTATCTGTTTATTATTATACGTTATCTAACGTTGTGATTTTAAAAGCAAGGAATTATGGGTAAAATATGACAACACAACAGTTGTTGCAAAAAATAAATTCATAACAACAAATAATAACATGCAAATTCTCACTGTAGATATAACTCGTGTATGTATGATAATGGAAATTAGAATGTTACAAAGAAACAAAAAGAAACAAAGTTGAAATGAAATAAAAATCATTATTTTAACATTTTATAATAACACTTTTTGAACTCTGTTTGCGGTCAACGGGTTATATATTAACCTGTCTAAGCTACTTCTATCAATAAATGTTGTTAAATATTCAAATAATTGATCATTGGTAGACAAATGTAAAAATACAAATGCAAATATGAATATTTCGTTCTATCGACTTGATAACCAGTTTATATGTTCCATGTTTTAAACTAACCAGTTTGAAGACGCACGTAGGAAGTCATAGAAAAAGTAATTTTCTCAATTTTCAAAAAAGATGCCATGATTTCATACTTTACTCGTAATCAATTTCTTGAGAGTCAATATGACGGATCACATAAAATGATTAAAATTTGAAAATGTGCTGAGCTCTTTTACATTGAAGTGTCTAAGACGTTGTCAGTCCAAGCGTACACTTTAAAAATAAAGCAAAGTATATTTAATGTTTACACATTAATAGCAATGTTACCCAGTTTTTTTCCGTGGAGGCCTTTTTCAGTAAATTTTCATGAAGGGTTTTTCCAATACCATTACCAAATTCTTTGACAATGTTTGTAGTTCTTTCAAACTCAGCCAATGAAACATGAGGCTTAACTGGTAAGATATGATTATACAAGAAATATGATTAGTTCATTACTGTACCCACCAATCCTACGACGTGTCATACGGCAGTGCAACATAACGTGTGTAGATACCATTTAAGTCTATAGTCTCTCTTCAAATTATCAACTATAAGCAGGCAACGAATACAATAATAAGACAATTACGAGAACGCTACAAAGTGTAAAGTGAGGCGTTACATCGACCATCGCTAAGCCTCCGTTGATTATAGGTTCAGGTTACTTTTTGAATTTATTATCTAGCATTTAAAAATGGCAATTTACATTGGTATCGCGGTAACGGTTTTTAAACGAATGTTAATATATAACGCAATATCACCAATATATCGCCAATATCACAAGTAACTTTTCTGTAATCAAATGTAATTTCATTTTATTGCATAGGATGATTATACTGAATCACTAGTAACCTGAACCTTCGGTTTATACCTGACGCTACACGTCGGTCGACGCGAATTCGATACTGCCTTCGGTATCACCTCATATATAATATTGATGTTTGAATACATACCAGATTCTAGGTATCTAGTGAGCGTATGTTGTAATGTTGGGACAGGTAATGATGGCAGGTCTTCTTCAAATTGGAATGTGCGTTGCATTTCGGATGTAGTCGTCACGCTGGTTCTTGATCGATAATGCGTTTAAATTTCACCTAACCAGCAATTAAGATCAGCAACAAAATCAAGCTTATTTCACGCCAATCGTCATTTAATTTTGTTAGGCTTTCGTATTTATATGTGCAAAAATATTGATTCATTGCATATATTAGGTTAAGAAACGTTCATAACACAATAACTTATATAATAACGGAAATAATTCTATGACATACGGTTCTTTGATTGTTATCGGTTTTGAAAACTACCTAATTTGTTGCACGAAGAAACATCAAGGATGACAACAGACATGTTATTTCTATAATCTACCACATCAATCAACGTATATACGATAATAAACTTATACAGGGTCAATTTTAATGCTGCAAACCCGCACAGTAACCTTGTACACACTGACAAGTGACACACAATTCAATCGCAAATAAACCCTGAAAGGACGTGTTGCCTAGCAGGCATTGATTCTACCAGTGTTTGATTTATAAATGAATGGAGTCCAGCCCAGAATTCCATTTCTACAAATATAAAGTAATCGACATAATATGAAGATAAATACAAAATTTTGAACCCCTAAATCAACCTTAAATCTGCGTGTCAATGACAAAAATCATGACACATCAAACGTGTTACTTACCGATTATCCCGTGTTAATTACAGCTGTACTGAATAGACCTGAACCTTTGAACCAATAAACAATCCATCGGGTAAAGGGCACTTGCAAGCACCAGGGGTTACCAAACTTAAGACGAGGTTTACACACTTTTGACTGATGAAACGTCGACCTTGTACAGTTACTCGTCGATCAGCGATGGATTGTCATGTTGTGTCTATCCACCGGTCACGCCATGTCAACTGGCAGTTATGGCATGATTGAATAGTATTGGAAAAATAAATAAAATGATAAGCGTAAACAAGACGTGAATTCGATCAGGACAAGCATGGTTCATCAAAGCGCCCGTTAGAACATAACGGCCGCCAGTCTGACATGTCGACCAGTTTCTCAAGGTCGAGAGATGTATGTAGCAAGCATATACATTCGGCAATACGTGACTGTTATCTGGTTCCCGGATGATAATTCATTTATCCCATACATTATGGCAGTTCAGTTTACTGAAGCAGTGTAATAATATAGTATTTCTTTATACAATGTAATAATAATCCCAATAATCTGATTGGACCATGCAGGCAGGGGGAACTCTCACCTCTACTGCTAACTATTCCAAAATACTGCTACTATGTACTATCTATGTTGGTAGTTTTACACAGTATTTAAAATAAATATCCCAGCCAAAACCATGCGTGCATACAGCCAGGGCGTCATTTAAAATTCTTCTAAACTCAAATTGTTTGCACTCAAAAAATTGTTTCACCAATGTACAAACATGGTGATTTTTTACGGATTGCAAAGAAGCCAAGGCTACGGTCACGACCAAGGCCACGTCAATCTTTTATGCAAAGAGTCAGGACGCTTTACGATTACCTGAGCATGCGTTCGGAATTTTTTTTTTCCTTTACAAGCTGTGAATTACATACATGGAATAAACAATTTATCAAACTGTCTTCATAATATAATTATATTTATTCGTGTGTAATATACAACTGACGTTGTATTTTATAATTCAACTTTAGGGTGCCTCATGAGGTAATCTATATATGCCACCTTGTATTTGGTAGATTCAGTTAATCTGTAACTTGAAATAAACAAACGAGCTGACTGACGAACTAGATCTACTGTATTACAAGAACATTGTGGAAATAAGCAATTGGACTTGTAGATTTTAAGAATGAGTCGAACATATCATGTTTCACCTAAAATGACAAGAATATTCGCTTAAAATACTTTGAATTAATGATATATTTAAGAACTGAACAAATCTGGTAGATGCCCACTCAATATACATATAACGCCTACATATAGCATAACAAAGTAATCAGGCAGGCAGTTTTCAAGAAGTCAATAATATCATTTTTTTTTAAAACAAAAATAACAAAAATAAATATTCGCTAAACATATAGAATTATTAATATCGTCACGAAATCGACAAATCTGAGAGAGGTTCACCCAACATATCAAAGCAAACAGATTGGTATTTTTCAATAAGTCAAACGTGTAATTGTTGACGAATGACGGGCGGGTGGACGACGGACACGACGTACAATCACCTATACGAAAAGCTCTGCTTCAGTGATATTTATGCAGAATAACCGGTGTATAAATATGATTTTCGGAGGTATAAATTCAGAAAATCGCAGCTTTCTACCAGGTCGTTGACCGATTCTGATTCACTGCTAAATAATTGCATCGAAAATGTGCTTGTCTTGTGTTCTTAAACGTGCATCTTTTACCATATTTCATCGGAGGGTAGAAATGGGGTAGAGTGTACATATATTATCGGGTTTAGAATTCGTTGGATTGTCGTCTGGGGAATGGGTGCCACTGTCTAGACTGAATTTGGAGTATGTTGATTGCCTTTGAGAATACATTCTGAGAAACGCATAGGTGACATTCTAGCAGCGTAACAATAATTACACTAGTCACTACACATCGTTGTCATCATCTACAATATAGCTCACACCCAGAGTTGGGTGCTAACCCGACAAGACGAACCAATTCCATTAGAACCGACCCCCTAGATTCTTTTTTTGATGGATACTTGCTTGTCTCGTTATTACCAAACGCTTCAGCATGGTATTAAGAGTTTGTTTACAGGGGTGGGTTATATCAAGGTGGAAAATGGATGCACTTATGGGGGGGGGGGTAATTCCTGGAATTACAATAGTGAGGGTTCAGGCCGAAATACAATATATAGTGTTTTCATGTTTTGTCTGATATTTCTGTGGTATTCTGCTGTAACTAATGCAAGATTTGTTCCGAAATTCAGTGTGTTTTGTGCACTCCAGGGTTATTCGTTTTTTGCTGAAAACACCCTTATTTGTTAATGGCAGAGTCGAACTAGTTTCACTCCCACTGGGAAAATTGCATTGTTGCTTGAATGAGAAGCTGATTTAACACTTTTCCAGACTGACTATCACGTGATTTTACTCAAAATGGAAACATGGAAAGAGGCTATTCCATTTTACGCAGGAATAATTGGGAGTAGAAAATGTGAGGGATAGTATCAACAGAGATGTGTATATTGAAAAGTAATATCATCTGTCCTTCTTTTACATCGCTGAGCATTTCTGTTTAGTATATTGGTTTGAAAATGTTGAATTTGCATGATTTGCGATGTGTTTTTTTTACTGAAACTCCCCTATTGATTGAATCCCGGGTTTGAAGGAGAACGACACACCACGTGATTCATTTGAATACAATGGTGAGGGGTGCAGATTGGCCGCAATCCGATCTCGATGGAACGTTTCGAATCAATCATACGTAGTTTAAATTTATGTTGAAGTTAAAAGTTCCTTCACAGAATTGTGCATTAGCGAACATGACGTTCAACTGCGGTACTCCACTGACGGGATGGCTTTCGTCGACAGAGGTCGTCGCTGAGCTGCACGCTACAACTTCGCTTGTGGTATTGCTTGTTAGCCGTGGATCGAATGAATTCTGATTACCGGTTTAAATGTTGCTCATTTGGCGTTAGTAATCTTTATTTGTAACTAGGTAACGCCAAAACGTCGCCAGCAAAATCCTCCTGGTACTTTGATGTTGATGGTTGTTCTTCATGGCAATCGCTAATTTTACTGCGGGTTGATCTTCCAACAGCCCTTCAATTATGTCTACCATCACACGCACAAATTAGTAAGATGGGGATGTATGTTGTTGTGCACTTCCTGCGAATAACTCTTTTTTCATGAAATTCAACGCTAGGCTTTATCGAGTATCACTTGTTGTTATGACGTAGTTTCTCACTGGATTAAAATGACTGGGTGATTGGTCATGGCAATGTGTTGGGTGTTGGGTACTGATTAGTTAACAGAGCGTTATTCACTTCAATATTCGTGCAATGCTTGGTACACATAATAATTATTATTTAGGTTTCCAAACAAAAACAAAACCAGAAAAAATATTTCTGAAAGAATGTTCATAAAGACAGTTGCTCATAGTATGTCATGTGGAACTGGTCGCTATGGGCAGGTGGTCTGTATATAGGTGGTCAGTAACACAGGTCTGAGTGCACTACTATAATCTCACTTCGTGGTACACTATATATTTTCACTATCATGAGTATGATTAGTTTGACGTCATTATATAGAGCCTTTAAAAACATATATTATTTTCCAAAAAATTGAGTAAAAAATCACACGACAATATCAAAGCTTACTGTTACTGTAATACAATATACGTTTACACTTTTTGTGTATATTTATATATTTGCGTTTGTCTAGTGCATAAGCACTCGATGATCGTCTCATACTAAAACATACGAAATGTGATTTAACAAACCACATTTTTTTTTTTTAAATTGTGCTCTTCAAATATTGTTGTAATCATTGATTACATATCGGAATTGCTGTAGGGTCCCACTATCTTCCATGCTGTAACCGTTAACGGAATATGTTATGCTGTTTCGTTTTTAACACCGCTCCAACGATATTGTCATTCCATTACAGACGAGTCGCTCTTCATTCCATTACAGGACGGTATGACCAAAACCACCCTCTAACGTCGCTCTATTTACTTGAATTGATATGGGAGCTATTAAATATATTTAATACAATATATTCAAACAGTTTTGAACATTTCAATTATTTAATTGGCCAAGCGATATTGTCATTCCATTACAGACGAGTCGCTCTTCATTCAATTACAGAACGGTGTGACCAAAACCACCCTCTATCTAACGTCGCTATATTTACCTGAATTGATATTGGATCTATTAAATATATTTAATACAATGTATTCAAACAGTTTCTAACATTTCAATAATTTAATTAGCCATATTCACGTATTATGTGCTCATCCCGTTACCTATAGTTATTCCACAAACTATCGATTAAATTGATAAGTATAAACTGAATATGGTAAACGCATTGTTAAT